TGAAACATTGGTTTTATGGGAATGTGAACCCTATCGATATTCAGCGTTCCGCAACCTTTTGTTCCGGAGTACCCCTCCCCCCCCCCCCCATTGCTGAAACCATTCTGAACGCGATAGAAGCTAAAAGTTTTAACGGAATTATTTCAAAATTGGTGTATAGCATCCGGGTCATGAGAGGACGAACGTCAGCGATCCGTCACATTCCTTTTGAAGTTACCCCCCTTTTCCGAAAAATTTGTGAACCCGATGCAGACTACGGTTTTTAACAGATTTATTTCTAATTCGATGTGCAGCACTTGAACAATGATGGAATGAACCCTATTTCCCAGTTTTCCGTTCATCTATCTTGCATGGCAACCGCTATTTGACAGTGTATCGAAATTCAGAATCTTTAGACCGCAAATCACGGAGTGATTCCCACAGATGTTTCACTTTATGATATCTCACGAATGCGGTACGGGCCGGAGATTTATCTTTTAATAATAAATGTCCTTTTGTAAGTGCCCGTTTAATGTTATCACTAATTTGATTATTTCAGCATTTGTTCAATTCCATACGAGAAGATGCGTCAAGTACAGATTTTGTGTAGTGTATTGGTTGTTCTGGTTGCTACCATGTCAGTGGAATCTGTACGTTTTACTAGACTATTTATTTATTGCAGAATCTACAAAACATATCACAACTTCTTAAAACGTCACATATATCGATTTCAGTGATTTCCGACAATACTTTCTAGTTTCCATAGTTGTGTCGCTTCTTGGTCGAACCTTATGGTTTTATTTACTATGCGATATAATCAGGCATCCCGGTACACGGTAGACAAACGATGTACGCCTATTATTGTAAATGGTATAATATTTTTGACCAAAGCAAAACAATTCAACATGCATTATGCAAGAGGTAAATATGCAAAGAGGTAGGTCTTTCTTCAGGCCTGAAATGTTATATAAGCTATTAATTAGACATTTATAAACATGAAAAGGCCATAATCAACACTCGGTGCCATCTTATGTGTCCGATTTTCATTGGATTTGAATCCGATCTGCTGTTCAACGAGACATAGTTATCGTGACCGTGGTAACAATGACAATCGAGGCTACAGCGATTTTACAGTAAGGTTTTCTCGGCTTAGACTAGAGTAAAGTAAATTGATTGAAATTTTCAGAATATTACCGTTACATTATGTATTATTTAACTATAATAGTGAGAACTGGCAGCTCTTTATCGAGTCTTCCATAATGTACCTTTAATAACTGTTTATATTGCAGTGTCGCATGGTAGGACAATCGTGTACACAAGGAAGAAACACTGGAATGGGATTGGCGCCTGGAATGGGTATGCCAGGTATGGGAATGCCAGGAATGGGGATGCCAGGAATGGGCATGGGTATTGGCTCTGCCACGAATCCAAGAAATTCGAAGTGTTGTACTGGTTATTGCGACCCTATGACCTACAAGTGCGTTTTACAAATGGGTTAGGGCAACTATAATAATGAATTAAATATAAAACTCAAATAAAAATTTAAAGAAATAAAAAACGTCTTGGTTTTTCTGCGTGGGTTACCCAATGTGTTTGCGTTTTTGAGAAAAATGAATTCACAGTGGTCGTATATTGTTGTAACCGTCGTCCGCCATGTCATAATACATCAATTCGATTAGTGCTCCCACCGACAGCCCCTCGCCAAAATCTGTATCATATCGATATTTAGCGTTCAGGGATCGTCCGTTCGGAAATTATCCCCCACCGCCCAACCCACCCCACCTTGTGAACTCAATCGAGGTTATAACAGTTTTCCGCAAGCTTTTCAACACAATAGAGATCCGATTTCTCAAATGTATAATGGATCCTTATCAAACTTGGCCAACATCCTATATATATTTTAAAATTCCAACTGACAAGTGTTCTTCTACCAGAGGTGGGAACTCGAGTCAGGCGACTCGGACTTAAGTCATTGCGACTCGAGACTCGACTCGAATTCGGCAGTCGTGACGACTCGCAACTTGAAAGAGCTTGGGCATAACACTAACTTATCTTATCAGGGGCGGGTCGAGGAATCTTTGCAGGAGGGGGTTTGCCAGATTCCTGAGACAATGTATGGAGGGTGGGGGGCATAGGACAGCCATTGTTACGGAAATTTGACAGTTGACAATGCATGATGCCATTATCGTCCCCAAATTACGTAGGCATACATATGCACTGAGCTTTTTGAAGAGAGATATCTAACATCAATTATGTCTGTATCATTATCTCGCGCTTTGAATGCCCATCTCATCCCACCATCTGATGATAAAGGATAAAGCACACGACCGTGCCACTTTTCTCATAAAAAGTGTTGTTTTACAAAAAAAATTTATGTAGCAATGATTTGCTGACTCCAGGGGCGTGCTGGCAGGGAGTTTAGGAGGACGGTGTCCTCCCAGGCCCCCATTAAACAATAAGTCCACCCGTATAAGCGGGCCCCCCTGAGAGCTCTAATTTTCACGCGGAATCCCCTCAAAAAATTGAGAGTGCGCACGCGAAAAATCATACATACACAACGATTAGTAAAATATATTATGCTGACGTGCAAATGTCTGTCACCTTAAGGTGAAATGGTCTTTGATTAAAACAATCGGTGGTGCTGATAGCATAATTGCATTTCCTGCATTTTTGTGTTAGTATCATGTCTCATAGAGACTAAAGATTCATACATGTATTCATGCCTCGATATGTATAAGATGCAATTTATTATTTGGATAAAAAAACATTGTATTAGCATTATATTAAGCAGACCTGTCATGAGTGTCTTGTGTAGTACAGTAGTATGTCTTATAGTCAAAATAGCAGCATAAATTTGGAAAATATGATACCTAGATTTCTCCCAGAAGTGCTTGCAAAACGCGTTTCCCGTTGTCAAATTTCAAAAAATTTCTGGGGGGAGTACCCCCAGACCACCCTACCAGCGCCGCGCCTAGACCGAGGGGCCCATTGGGGGCCCGTCCTCCCGGGCCCCTTCGGGGCCAGCACGCCCCTGGCTGACTCATTTGATGAACTGGCGACTTGAAGGGGACTCAGTTTCGTCAACTCTTAGGACTCGACTCGCCGCAGTACTAAAGCCAGCCACTTGGGATTCGACTAAGACTCGACGTGTGGCGACCTGGGATCCGAGGTCCCACGACTTGCTCCCACCTCTAGCTGTCTTCTACGTACACCACAACGTGTACAAAGGACCTCGGCTTTTCGTCCCACCCAAATGGCTAGACGCTGACCCTGCCAGGCCATCCGTATTGCAACATGCTTAATTCGAGACTGCAAACCTTTACCCTTGCCCTGTGCATCTATCTGACTCTTCGGTGATACTTTCTAGAAGAAGTGCAATCTTCGAAGTTATATCTATCTATAATTAATAATTCAAATATCTGGGTTCTCGCCATACTTCACTTTCCGAAACTGTTCTTGACTGGCTGACCAGTGTGAGCCGATCATTTGGAACATTATTATTCTAAGAAAATTTCTTCAACCGCACACATTCTCAGCTGTCGGTAGTGGGACCAAAAGGACAAGAACGATCATGCGGAAGACAAAAAATATTATTTCAAAAGTAAATTTCGACTTGCTTCGATTGTTTGCATTTCTTCGGTGTAGGTCATATTTCGGTGTCATGCCAAGGCTAACCTACGATGCTTGACTTCGGATATTCCTTCATGAAATCTAATAATACATCGAAATAACGACAGTCTTGCTTTTCGATTTGTCAAGGGCATTCATGGCTTTATTCTGGGGACGAGGTGTTGAATTGGTTATGGGGGAAAAGGCACGAGCTTCAACTAGAAATTTTTGAAGAAACAGGCGAGATCTACTTATTAAGGCCACCTGCAGATTTGGTCATGGCCGTCGAGATGTAAATAGGGTCAGGGCACATGCTTGTTAACGAGATTGCGGGTTAGGGTTAGGATAAGGGCTAGGTCTAGGGTTAGGGTAAGGGTTAGCGCTAGCCCTATGCCATCTCGTGACCAAATCTGCAGGTGGCCTTAATAATTAGATTTAACCCTCTTCCAAAAGGTTACATCTATTTGATAAAGCCAACTTCAAGTTCGGTCAAAGGTCACGAGATGTAAACAGGTCTAGCGCTAATCCCACCCGAAAATCTTCACACAGAAACTTATAATTGCATATTCCATGTCAAACATGCAAAATCATAAACATATCCGACCAGTTCCATAACAAAACATCTAGCACAAATTTCCCAACATTAGACCAACTTTCATACAGCAGTTCAAACATAATTTATCTAATTTCATGGAGACAATGCGACAAACAATACGTGGGGGAGACCCAGAATGCACTTAGTAGTACTAGGGAAAGATTTAACGGTCACGTACCGGTCAGACATAATCACCAAAAAAGACAAACCAGTTCCATAACAAAACATCTGGCACAAATTTCCCAACATTAGACCAACTTTCATACAGCAGTTCAAACATAATTTATCTAATTACATGTAGACAACGCGACAAACAATACGTGGGGGAGACCCAGAATGCACTTAAAGTAGTACTAGGGAAAGAATTAACGGTCACCGGTCAGACATAATCACCAAAAAAGACAAACCGGTCTCAGTTCACCTCAAGCAACCAAATCATGACATTTCTGATCTAGGCCTAATTTAGTAATTGTCACACCAATAGAAAAGAGTAAGAGCAACTTTGAAACTCCGGAAGAAATTAAAACGTTTAGGCTAAAATTAATTCTGGATTGACAAATTGAAAACAACCTTGACCAAAATTTAGCTGGCCTTGACAAATGGATTTAGCCCTTCCAAACCCTAGTGTAGTAAAGGCAAGTAAAACGAAATTTTCAACTATAAAAAACGAAATAGGAATAGGATCTGTACGTGTTTTAAACAGATTGATATGAGCATAACCATGGTCTGATCCCTACAAAATCATACGCGAGTTATGTCCCTTCCCAGCGGTTATTCAGCAATGTCAATGAGCAAGCGTGATAGTTATAAACTCAAATTCACATATTTGGTACTAGGAACATTCAAACATTAAAACATGGTATTGAATTATGTGAGACGTGCTGAAAGAATATTGGTAATAGGACTAGCTTGCAAAGATTCGTTTCGTTTTATAATATTGTTCTCTATATCGTCTCAAATTTGTAGTTGCCACATATTGACAACAACACTCACCTAGAAAATCTTTCGACTGGATCAGTTGCATTTAGGTTTCTTGTTTAAGAAGAAATGATCTAGGGCCTAGTTCCAGTGAAACAAAGTAAGGCACTTAATAATTATTTTCTGAAAAGTGAAATGCCTGTAGATCTACCTTACCGTATTTGTTGCAAACACTGTGGCGTTGCTAACACTTACGATGTACTCACATGATGTAGGCCTATCGGATCACTCCGGCCACAACAGTCTGACCTTCTCTTACTCTAGGCCTATCCGTATAATAGGCTATTTGCATTCTCCTATCATTTAGGAACTGTATCTGATCGGACGATGTCCGCTGACAGTTCCTATAGCTGCAATAGCCATTAAAATCATCAAATATAGGCTGCTTGGCCGAATTAGGAATTTTTCCTGTTTATATCGATATATTCCAAAGAATGGCTATGTACTATAAAAGACTAAACGAAAATAGCAATAACTTAAGTAACTCATTACTGAATTCTGCATACCAGGAAGACATAAAAATTTCGCAATCAAACCCAAAACTCTCCTGGTATGCGGCTATCCAAAATATCTTCAAAAAATATGACATTCCTCCAACAACAATTTCGAGACAGAATATCAAAAGTTCAATAGAAAGTAAGTTTAACGATCTCCTTGCTGAATCTTGCGGGCCGAACCATAAACTCAGAACCTTCGGATTATTCAAAAAGAAATTCAATAACACTCCAAAATATCTAGAGGTTGTTAATAATAAGAAGTTCAAAATTGCGATGTCTACCCTACGATTAAGTACTCACCAGCTTGCCATTGAAAGGGGTAGATATCTTAAGATACCACTCCAGGATCGTTTCTGTAAAAAATGCAATGCAGGCAAAATTGAATCTGAAAAACATTTTCTTATGGAATGCCAAAATTATAAAGATTTAAGAAAACAATATATATATATCAAACTCTTGACAATACTGGTCTAACCTTTTCATTTGAAAACCTATTCGACCCACCGAGTATTATAGCCACAAGTGTCGCAGCCTTTGTCTACTTCTCTTTTCTTAGGAGAGACATCTGTTAAATATGCATGATATTTTATTTTCTTTTATGTGCGCACGCTTTGTTTTGTATTTTGATATATTATGTACCCTGTATGTGGGTCTTATACTGTCGAGTTATGTGATTTAATACTTTGTACATTTTGTTCCATATGCAGGTTTCATACTGTTTATTTATGAGTGCTCTAAATTTATGTCCGTCCATATTTGTGTATCCGTCCATTTTTTTGCACCTGTATATTTTGTATATTGTATGTTGTCCTCAAGGGAGGTTCCGATGCAGTATTGTGTGTCTTGTGTAATAATTGTCATATCGTTATAATTTTTATGTACACGTTTATATTGTATGCTGTCCTAAATGGATGTTTCGATGCAATAAAATCTTATCTTATCTTATCTTATATAAAATACCGCTCATCCCCACCTCAAATCTAAGGCTATTTTTGAATCCTTTCCTTAACGGACTATTTTTCACTCAGATTCTTCTTTGTTTGCCAAAGAAATCATTTCTTGCCACAGCTGACACACATATTATTTATAATAATTCAACACTATTTTGATTTCATGCAAAATTTTGAGATTAAAAACATACACAAAAACGATTGGACTGATCAACAACCATTACGAGACCCGAACATGCGCAGATCGCATGTTTATTTAATCGCTAAATTCAACTTGAACATAGGGCAGGCTAGTGAGTGTTGAATTATTATAAATGTGTCAGAATCACGCCATTCACGGGGTGTCATGTCACTTGAAAATACAGAAAAAACTGTTTGGTAAGATAAGATTAAGATTTCAGTGTTCCACTCTTCACTATTTGTAACATACACACTAACACTATTTATGGAATATTTAATTACTGGTTTTTATTAACATTAATGATAAAGACAAGGGTATCATCGTCGAAACCTTGCATGTTATAAACCAGTAATTGTATTCCATAAATAGTGTTAGTGTGTTAGATCTACTGTTCAATTACTAAATGCCACTTAAAGAAGTATTTGTAACATAATTACTTATTTCCATGCAAACTGTGAAGATATGACTATGTGTTGAAAATTTTGCAATTGAACATAATTTTACTTCATCAAAGCTTCGAATAGTGTATACGTATCAATTGCAGCCTTAGATAAGAATTATCACGGCTAAAAATTGCAGCTACTATATAGCAAGCGATAGGAACTGTCAAGGAACTAGTATATTCCATAGACAACACTAGGGACCGGGTATCATTCAGATTAGATGAAAAAAGGAAAGAAACTGAGCTTACCATCTATAATCTAATACACATATTCAGTTAATAGATTGCCATGCAGAAAGTATTAAGAACACAGTGGGTGCTAAGGTGAAGGTGACGGATTTAGACCAAATTTTGGTGGTGGGTAGGGTTAGTCCCAAGACCTCCATAGTTGCAACCCCAATCAATTCTGTCAGTCCTATAGAGAGAAAATCAAATTTATATATCATAAACTGTGAAAATGGTGAAAAACCATAAAAATAATTGTAAACTTTTGATGGCTCTTTATATTAGATATTGTATATAAATGATCTTGTGACATTTTGTAGCTGAACTCATCCCCTAATCACCCTATATGGATATATCTCTCAGAACCCACTCAGGTCTATTCCAGGCTGGATACCAAACACTATCAATAATTCCTATCATTTTACGTACTAAGTTCAAATCTATATAGAGCACTCTTCCTGCGGATGACTGCCATGGGGTCATTATCAAAAATAGGAGAGACATCCATATTTATGATATCAAAAATAAAAATGACCGGAATCCACATACTGAGTGAGCGAGCGTATTTTGAACTTTATCTATTTTGTGGAAAAATCAACTCGTCTCCAAGCATTAAAGTCAGAATAGAACGTTTTTAACTCAACGTTCCTTTAAAATAAGACACGAATACTAATATGGGGACTGATTTCAATTTATGATAAATAAAAAATTCCGGAAAACACCGGAAATAATACCGGAAAACATCGGAAAATTATCCAAAAACACCGAAAAATTCAGAGAAAATATCAACAGGAAATAGAATGAAAACCATACTTGCTGGAACTGCTTAGAGCGATCTCTAAATATAAATTCCACTCATAGGTCATAAATATTTTCTGAAAACACCAGAATAAAGTACCGGAAAACACTGGAAAAATAATAAAAAGCGAACGGAGATTGATAATAGGTTGCTACTTGGAAGAAACTTATTGACGTGCATCCATGCTTTATTTTCGGCTTTTTACTATGAGACCCAGTAGAATGTATGGTCTTAACAGGTTCTAAGCTTGGTATCCAACTTAACCGGAAGTAAATCGTGTACGCAGGTCAATTAAAATAGTTTCTTCCATCAGTACAAATTAGTCAAGCAAGGTCATTCTCATTTTGTGATATGCACTAGTATAAAGATTCATTTTGAATGAAATGAAAGACAAGGTATCTCTTTACATTACAAAGAGGTGTACAGTTGTCACAGTATTTCTTTTCCTCAGACTGATTATAAGTTTTATCCTGACTGAAAACAACTATAATCTTTACATAGATTAGAATGAAAATAATGAGTAACTATGGTCATTTAGTTCTTACATCATTCAATTTGCAGCCACCTGCAGTATGGTCCCAGATCACTAAATCTATTCTGCTAAATGGCTAGAGTTCCTGATTGTAAAAAAAGATCTATAATTATGGTTCCAATGCGATACTAAATCATGAGATATTGAGGTTTATACAATTTTATAAAATACACAAAATAAACTAAAGCTAGTTACATATAATAATGATGCTCAATCGCCGGCATAACGGCCGAAAAGGAGCATTTTGTAGTCATTTTACTGATTTTGCGAAAAAGACGCCATTGCTGGAGACCAAGCAAACACCGGGACGAGTGTTCAGTCAGAAACTGTCCAGGTCTCAATGAACAGATGTAGAGAGACCGGATAGATGCTACTCGATCGATTTTAAACGTTAGATAACGAATTTTCTTATATTTACAGGCCGCAACTAGGGCTAAAATTATCTGAAAATGGCATTTTTCAAGTTGCCCCCGCAGGTTAATGGAGTGGGCAGTTCTTAAGTTCCGCTCACTTTTTTGGTAGAGCTACTTCATGACATCATACCACCCGGATACTGATAAATTTCATATCTTCTATCTACTCAAAGAGCATTGCAAACATACATAGATCTGTCATTTTTTCGAAAAATTTAATGAGCAGTCAAATTTAAGATGGCTATAGTAACTCAGGGAAATAGATATAAAAATCAATACTTGTGAGGAATTGAGGGCCTAGCAGACCCTCTTCAAATATTGCCTGAGATGGGGTGGATAAGTTGAAATAATTCTGTGGAGCTCCTGCAAAGTAACGCAAAAATCTACTGAAAAATCAGCTATTTTACGGTAAAAAAACTAATTGCCCGCTGTAGGCTGTACAGGCGGGCGATGACTGAAATATTTATACCTGTGATACAGGACCCCTAGGGGGTCATATAGCAATAGTCTGATGGGAATCTTCAAACATCACACCTTAGCACATTTTCAAGATTTTGCCTGGTCCTCTCGCGAATACGTTCTTAAATACCATCAAGATTCATCAAAAAACGCCCAGTTTGTGCTACCGTTTAGTTTAAGAAACACCGTTTAGTTTTGACATTGGTCATCTAGTTTATGACCATTTAGTTTAGTTTTGATATTGGTCATCCAGTTTATGACCATTTAGTTTCATAAACTAGACAACCGATGTCAAACTAAACGGTAGCACAAACTGGGCGGTTTTTGATGAATCTTGATGGTATTTAATACTTTCTGCATGGCAATCTATTAACTGAATATGTGTATTAGATTATAGATGGTAAGCTCAGTTTCTTTCCTTTTTTCATCAAATCTGAATGATACCCGGTCCATACATGTAGTGCAATATGAATATATTATAAAAAAAGAACAGGAATGCAATGCCTGTTGACACCTCAATTTTACAGGTAAGTTAAAGATACATTATGGGAGATTTTTACAGAGAATTGGCCATTCTTGCTATAACAGTTCAAAGGTAGATG